GGGGGGGGGGGGGGGGGGGGGGGGGGGGGGGGGGGGGGGGGGGGGGGGGGGGGGGGGGGGGGGGGGGGGGGGGTACTCATAGTCGTGCATGCCATAGTCTTTAGACCATTGACCTCGCATCCCTGCGAAGTCGGGACGGATCACGCCGGGTCCTCACCGGACCAGGCTCTCATATCACCAAGCGCGAAGCGCCGTGAGATGTTCGGCGAGTCGCACGAAGGGTGCGCTGCATCCTGCTAAGGGTTTTCAGCACCTTGTGCTTACTTCCTTGCATACGGATGACAGCTGCGTATGGCTTAAATCGATTTTCTGGTGCTTTCACTTCCAGAGACAGTTGTAAGCACTGTGTAACTGCCTCGAGGGTGCTTGACTATTTTAACACAACGTGGTGCAATCATCTTCCCTTGCGCGGAAGGAGGGTTCTTCACCCCGCACAGCATGGTCTACTCGACCACCGTTATGGTTACCGCCAAGAAAAAAAAGGTAAAAAAACAACGGTAACCTGGTTGCCGAGTTCACGAAGTGAAATAACTTGTTGTACAACGTCGATGCCGAGCGACAAAAACTCAACCCCGATGGCAAACACCGAGGGGGGGGCTTGTTTAACAACGTCGTTGCCAAGCGACGAAAACCCAATCCCGATGGCAAAACACCGGGGGGGGGGAATCGGGGGGTAGCGTAAATGGACCGGTAATGGAAAGGTTGTAGATTAATATACAGGTGTCGGGTAGCATGTGTTAATAGCAGTAAACATTGATCAGTCAACAGAGGGTGAAACCCCTCAGACCAAAATGCACTTGTGTACTCCTCTTGCCCCCTCTCGTGTCAGTCGTCCGGGGTCACTAGCATCCTTGGCTGTGTTCATGTGTTCACACAGGCGCAACAACACAGGCTTGACCAGTGATCAGTCCCGTGCTGCTGCTACTGTGTGTGCGAGCAACATTCAGTAATTTGAGCAGTGTGTTCGTGACGCAAAGCGGTACATTTGAGCAGTTCAAGTGAGGGACACTGAGCCGATGCAAAATTTGGGAACCTGCCGCTGTGCTGGTTGTAAAGTGTTGCTCGGTGTCAAACGTGCGATGTAATCTTTCACGCAGCTGTTTCTATTGCTTGCTCGATGGGTTCGGGAAAGACAATCTGAAATATTTCTAGCTCAACGAGCGCTGACTGGAAATACCAATATAGATAAACATTCACGTGACGAATTTGATGGTAATCAGTACCCGCACCACCAAGTCCCCCTAACCCTAACCCTAATCGACTTGGACCGCGCCAACCGGCTGGCCATAAAGACGTCGTCGTTCTCATGTTGTAAAGTGTGTGTGTTTCTCCCATCATTGGACTCTGTCGTCTGCCTCTCTGGCCCCTATCCTCCACTTCTACTAGCTAGACCACTCAACCGGGGTCACATAACAGGGGGGTTCGGACCCCCTCCTGCGGTTCATGCCTGAGGTATTTTTATCGCGAGAAGGGTACAGCAATCCCTTCCCTCGCGACTTACGAAGTCGATTATGGTTTGCTAACAAACGAGCTTTGCAGCTCGTTGCTTTCATCCTAGACCAGGATATATTTAGTGAGAAAAAAATCCATCTGCCGGGACTCGAACCCATGACCTGGCCCTGAGCAGGGTGCGAGGTTACCCACTAGACCACCGGGGCGACCGTGTGTGTGGTTCTCTGACTCGCACCAATCGCACTACAGAACGGGCCAGCAATCAAGAAAAAAACTGAAGAAAATGAGGCTCAAGTTTGTACGAAAAGTACGAAAAAAGGACCAAGAAACACAGCTCAATCTCGACCGCAACTTAAGAAACGTCCCAATAAGAAACATGACCTCAAACACACAAGAACCAAGGGGTAGCTGGGTAGCGTGTCCAAGAGGAAACGTCCCACTGCTTCCTCTGAGGCGCTGCTGCCATGCTCCCACCCCCCTACCTGGCATGTATTGTTATTTGTAGGGAGGGACAGGTTTTCGGGGCGCCCCCCGCGCCCCCGCGCCGCCGCGGGCTGCGCTATACCCACTGCTGCTGCACTGCTGTACCGCCACACATCGCGGAGAAAAAAGAAAGCATAAAAATTATGAAAATAAGCAGGATGCGACAGCCCAAAGGGATAGGAAGTCTGTTTAAGAAAATGGACGACTTCGGCCGGTCCTACGACCCAACGTAAGGGATTGAGGCTAGACCCGAGTGTGACGTTTCGTGTCTCCGGGTCCGTTCTGTACAGAAATTTGCTGCCCGATGGAGAGACGTTTGTCTTTGGGTGTGACAACATACGTGAACATATTTCCTATTCCGCGGACCCCACCTGCCGACAGTAGGCCACAGCGGAGGTTGGACGCGTTAACCGGCAAACAGTGAAAAAGACGCGTGTGCGTGCCTCTGTGGTAGCTAGACCGCACGAACTGGTGGATCGATCAAAAGGCGCCAGCCAAAAAGAGGGATAAAAAGCAAACACGATTCATGTCCCGTGGAATGTGGGACAGGAGGGGTGCGCAGGGGAGAATTGGGTCGTTCCATGAACTCGCCTTGCTTTTTATCGTTACTCAGTTACCCACACCGTCTAGTGTACCCGTCCACTTGCTTTCTCTGGGCAACAGATTGAGCGCGAGACGAACGCCGTGATTGGAGGCAAGAACATCTCCGCGGAACGATCGGGTGGGGGGAGGATCGGATCCGGCGGGCCCACCGTTGCGGTTGTGAGCCTGGTCGTCGCCCTCCGAGGGGATGCGATGAAGAAGTTGGGGCTCGACAGGAGCGTCAGCAACACCTCGGGTGAGAGGAGAGATGTGGCCCGTTCTCTTGGAGTAGACGGCGCATCACATGCGGATGTATGTATTACGTTCGATTGTCATTTGTCCCTCGTCCTGCCCCGACATCTAATCAAGAAGGGCAAGCATATCTACTTCTTGTTGACCAGAAGACGTCAACGCGCGTCAGAGAGTCTGAGCAAGAACGCAAAGCCCGGCATGCTTTGCTACCCCCAATGTCCTGCAGGACAACGACTCGGAGATAATCCAAACACGCCAATAACACGCTTGCATTTTGACCCACACAGGGAAAAAAACACCCGCTACGTGCAACAAAAATGAACGCTTCTGGCTCTAAGTAGATCGTTCTTTATAGGAGTTTTTTCCGCGCGCGTAGCGCGCGTGCGAAAAAATACGGAGCGATAGCGGAGTTTTTTTTCGCAAAAAAACTGTTTTAGATGGGTCCTTTTTGTTTCCCCGCCTGGGTTCTGCGCACGTTGAATAACACTGACTGTCAGCCCGACCCCTGAACTAATTACTGTTCTCAAATTGATGTCCGTGTGTGTGTGTGCGTGTATATTATTACTAGCATCGACCGCGCTAACCGGCTGACCAATTAATAGACGTCAGTGCCAGCGGGAAAAAATCAAGGTGCCTGGAAGGGAGCCAAAATTCGAAAAATGCGCAATGCGCTTGATGCGAATGCCAATACGACTCTCTACATGTTCTTTCACGAAGACACACATCTCAGCTACACAAATGCCCTCGCTCGAACCTAGGAAGCCACTGATGCAAAGAGCGG